ACCTCGATGCAGCAGGCCGGGCCGGACAGAACCCGCTTTCTGCATGTCGGATGTTCAATGAACAGAAAATTACTGGACTTGAGTTTCGTGTTAAACAGATTTACCGACTAAAAGGTTTCTTTTTTTTTTTTATTTTAAATGCAACATGTATATTTTCATCTGAATGTGTTATTTCAGCAAATTGACTTTTTTGAGTTTGTGCTCCAGTTAATGATTATATAAATACCAAATTAGTTTATTTGAATGATCGATTAATGTGATTTATCCAGTTAATCATTTCTGGACGTAACAAACAGAAGAACTGTGAAACATTTCTGGATGCACTGAACTTTGTTCTTGTTATAATTTATGTAATTTTGTAATAAAATAAAGGTTTTAGTTTCCCTAAACTTTGATATTATTTCTTTTTGATGACGTGTTCTGACCTGTCGATATGTGCTACACATGAACTGACCACATGCTGTCATAAACTATTCTAATGGTACTGGAACCATTAAAGCTCCCAGTTTATAACAGGAGTTTATGAGAAGCACCGACTGACGGGTCCAGCTGTCGAGACGATCCTCCAGCTGCAACAGGATATTAAACTCTTATCAATAATCACTATTTGATTTAGGGCTGAAACGATTAACTGTGATTAAACAATTGTTGAAATAATCGTCAAATAATTTAGTAATTGATTAATTGTTATACTGACTAAAAACCATTTTATAAAAACAAACGAAAAGCAGTAATTTAGTCAAAGCTATAAAAAAATGAAGGATTTTACATTTAGGATTAAAAACTTTGTGAATCTCAGTTTTAACTTTGTCTGGTTCAAATGATGTAAAATAAAAATTACACCAAATAATAATCAATGAATCACTAAAGGAATTACACGGTTTTTAAATTTTATTGCATAAAATGTTTTTCAATTTTAAAAAGGATTTGATTATTTATCTGTATTTAAGCATTTTAGTAATTAAGCCAAATCTGTACGAAAAATATTTTTCATTTAAAATAAAAACATTTATTTGTTTTACTGCAGTAGCAGTTTCAGCTTCACCTGCTTCAAAATCTATAAATAAATCTACAAAGCTCATTTTATTACCTAATTATCAAGCAATTTATTCCAAAATTAATTAATGATTAAGTATTTACTCAAGGAATCATTTTAATTTCTTTTTGTATTTTAGGCAATAAAATTTTTATTTTTCTTACTTTAAAAAAGGATTAAATTATTTATTTTTATGCATTTTCAATATGCTATAAAATAAGCTAAAGTGGTCAATAAAAACCTGCAGAATGTACTAAGAAATTATTTCTGATTAATCAATTAATCATGTGAATGATTGATCGCTGATATAATCATTAGCTGCAGGAGCGGGAGTTTCTCCAGGGCGCTGCAGCTTTGAGTAAATGTTTTGGAAAACCGCTGCTGGGAGACCAGCCGGCAAAACGCAAACAGAAACTCAGGACTTCCTGCTGCTCTGACCGCAGACTCCGTCACGAGCTGCAGGCGAGTCCACAGGCGTCTGCAGCCGTCTGCAGGCGTCTGCAGGCGTCTGCAGCCGAGTCCACAGGCGTCTGCAGCCGTCTGCAGCCGAGTCCACAGGCGTCTGCAGGCGTCTGCAGCCGAGTCCACAGGCGTCTGCAGCTGAATCCACAGGGCGTCTGCAGGCGATGCACAGACAGAGGATTCCTCTGCTGGTGTTTACGGACCGGATTAAAACACGGACTGGATTTCCGGTGGAGGTGGAGCGACATCACGGCTCCTTCCTGATTGGTTGTTCCTACAAACACCTGAACCTGCTGCTGGTGGAGAAAAGTGACTGACATGAACCTTAATATTGATGTTTTCAAACAGTTAATACAACTTAATGGAAAAATAATGCAGGAACTCAGAGATCAATAAACTTCAGATTCTAATGAACATTTATGACCAGAAAACATTTTAAATATCCAAAGATAAAACTGAAGCTTCAGACGTTTATCATCCAGTTTCTGGTAGGAAAACAATAAATTATGCAAAAGTTATTGAACTGGTTTTAATTTATTCTGCGATTTATAATCGATTTATTGATTATTGTGACTATTTACAGACCTTTTATCTAAAATTTTAATATTTATATTTTTGTACACATTTGACTTCATTTCTGCTCTGTGTTGTTCTTAAATGATTAATTGATTACTAAATTAGTTTACGATTATTTCAGCAATCGATTAATCAGAATCAAACTGTTTAATGTTTCACCCTCAGATTCAATAATGAATGATTAATCGATTACTAAATTGTTTTAATCGATTTACTCCTGCCTCAGATTTTATTCATCTAAAGTCTCCAGCAGCAGCAAAAACTTTAATCGAACCAAGTAATTTCAGTTTCTACTGCAAATATTTTAGTTCACCTGAAATCAGACAAAAAAAAACTGATTATTTCTCTAGAGAAATGAAACAAAAGATGTTTTCTTATTTAAACTTCATCTGGAAACTGGATCAAAAACGGGTCGTTAATCAGAACCATCAGAACCAGTTCTGGAACCTCTGAGCCAACACACATCAACCAGAACCAGAACCACCTCTATTAGAATCAATAGGTCCAGCTGTTGGACCTTCACCTGTTCGAGTCGGGTTCTGTTTGGGTCGGGTTCTGTTCTCGCTGGGTTCTGTTCGAGTCGGGTTCTGTTTGGGTCGGGCTCCGTGCGGCCGGGTTCTGTTTGTGCTGCAGTGTTTGCACCGCGCTGCGTTCTGCTGATCACACCCGCCATGCGGCGCCTCACATTCTCCATCTGTGAGGCGCCGCCGTCTGCTGGCGGCTCCACAGGAAACCCGTCGGGCCGGTCGGCGTTCACACCGCAGGACGCGCCGCTCCGAGTCCAATCTGCTGCTTCCTCACAAACACACAGGCTGGAGACGATGCAGATTGTCCACGATTTATTTATAAACACCAAGATGACCTCACAGAGCCCGAAAGAACAGACTTTCAGGGAAGAACCTGAACGTCTCACAGAGCTCTGATCAGCCATCTGGACTCAACCCGGTTCTACTGGAACCAGAACATCTGGAACAGAACCTCCAGCTGCTGTGGTTCTGAGTCCAACCAGCCTGTTCCCCTCCTGGCCTGTGGGGGCGCTGCACCAACAACCACTGCAGGAAACGACACTAAAACCTCTGAAGACACTGAGAGCAACTTCCTGTTTCACCAGATGAAACAAGATGGAGGCGTCACAGTTTAGTGATTTCTCTTTAGTCTTTGGCTGAAGACCAGGAGCCATTTCTGCTGCTAACGCTAGGCTAGCATGTTAGGTTTGGCTGTATTTACCCAGAATGCCCTGCGCTGGAGTCCACTTCCTGCTTTTGGAAGTGGACTCCAGCTCTGGTCCGCTTGGTGTTCACAAACTGAACCAGAATTCATTTCAATCGAACCCAGACCGAGGTTTGGAGGACCAGAGGTCAGAGGTCAATTAGCAGTCACACCTCACCAACCGGACTTTGACTAGACAAGCAGACTGGAGTTAGGTCAAAGCAGAACAAACGGGTCTGGTGTGTTCCTTTCTTTCTCAAAGCAGTTACTTAAAGTGAAAGTAAAGCAGAAACTCGCAGAATCTGAAAAAGTCACTGAAGTGGGCGGAGCCAAGGTACAGCAATGGGCGTGGCCAAATGTGAGGATGAGCAGAGGGATGAAGGTCAAGATAAAAAAAGCTCTGTTGCCAACTGTCACTTTAAGCATCCCTTCAGACTAAAGCAACTTTTTTTCTTCCAGAACAGCAACTAGCAACTAATCTGGCAATATAGTTTCCTGACCTGCTGCAGTCGGCGCGGCGACCCGCTGCACTCCGCCTCCACTCCGCAAATGAATCATAGCAGGGAAACGCCATCAATCAACTCCTGACTGGCCACCTGGGGGCGCCTGTCTGTTTTTATGTCTAAAACTCACCTGCAGGACCACCGTTTGCCCCAAAGAGGGCAGCACTGAGACAGATTCAGGCAAAAATGAAGAAAATTTGCACAGAAACCGAAGAAGGCAGCAATAAGGGCCAGCTTAGAGGTTTATCTGCAATAAAAAGTTGATTTGGTGTTTATTTCCTCTTAAACACCAAGTTGTTTTCTGCTCCATTTACAGCCCATAAAGTCTGCTTTGGTGCATTCAATGAACAGCAAAAACAGGAAAAAAAGATTTTTTCCAGAATCAGTCAACAGCTAACAGGTGAAAAACGACAGAGGGGGAAATTTCTGGCTTCAATTACCGACCAATTATCTGCAACATCGTTACCGCTGAACATTTTGTGGGATTAATGGAGTGGAGAGCCTGGAATCCCAGAGGCTCAGAGCCAAAGTTTCCCCAAAAACTTCCAAAATAGGAATTTACTTCCAACATAATGGCAACTAAAACACGCAATTCAGACATTCAGTTGACCAACTACTGGAGGCCAAACGCAGAAAAAGAGAAACACAAAGGAATGAAATGGACCTGAGCAGGAATCCACCTGCAGGAAGTAGGCGCTCCTCACCTTTCAGGTTCCTGGGGTTGTTCTGCTTGGTGCGTGGCATCTTCAGCCTCCACTCACTGCTGCATCTTCGCTTTATCCTCCTCAACTCGCAGGGACTCCTAGGTGCATCTGCAGGAACACACACACACACACACACACACACACACACACACACACACACACACACACACACACACACGGTTAGCAGGAAAACACATCCATAAAACTCACAGAGTTTAATGTTGCAGAAACCAGCAACCTGAGGAGCAACAGGAGGATAATCTGATGGAGATGCTGCAGAGAGACGTGGCTCCGTTCTGAACCGATCACAATCTGGATCGGAACCATCTGATCCGCTGCAGCAGAACCCGCTTTGTCTCCATGTTGCATAACTCTTACTACCGGCTGATGGTTGGTCTCCACTCCGCTATGACATCACCGTCCTGCGGCTCCACCAGCAACAAAAAACACGCATGACACAAACACGCCTGGATGCTCACCTGCAGCCAGCGCGTTGCAGGCTGGACAGACATGCGCACTGCCCGTCTGCGCATTCGCAGGGAACGCCGCGTCCTAACAGGTGACGCACACCTGGGGAGGCTCAGCAGAAAAGCGGAGATGGGGGCAGAGCGGAGGCGCGGTCCTGACACGAAAACACGACAGGGCGCGTGCGCGTGGATTCTGTGGCAACACGTGAACGCCCTGGCAGCGAGGGGCGGAGTCAGGGAAAACCCCTCTGCAACAGCCGGGACGCCTTCCTGCTCCTGCAAGCCTGCGGCGCGCACGCGCACAAGCACCGTGTCTCATGAACGCGGAGAACTCCGTGGGATTCCGTGGACACCACGCAAACACGGCCCGGGCAGCGCGCAGGCTCCTGCGCGGCCCTGGGACTTCACACCGGACGACCCGCTCCCGGTGCGGCCGCCGTGGCGGAACGACCCGCCGCGGCGGCCGGGAAGCGGCGAGCGGAGCGGCGGCCGGGTCGTACTCACCGGGCCGGTCGGGCTGGAGGTTCGGCGGCTTCCAGTACCGCGTAACGGGGCGCCGGGGTCAGTTCTGGTTCTGCTTCACCTTCTACCTCACTTTCAGACAGGCCCTGTGACGTCAGGGGGGTCCCGTCTCCGCCTCCCAGACGCGAGGGGGCGCTGTGCGCCGCGAGGGGGCTCCACACGGCCGCCGATCCGGCAGGATCTCCCCGCTTCCAGGGGCCTGGCGCCCGGCTGGAACCCCCCCACCGGGCCCCGCCGGCCTCGGCTCTGCTCAGAGTTCAGGACTGACGGTTTTCCCGGAGGTTCCTTGTTGTCAGGTCACGTTGTCGCCCTCCGCCGCCCCGACCGGGCTTCCCCTGCACACGGCCCCGCAGCAGGAGCCGAACAGCGGGGACGGGTTCCGGGGCGGCGTCCGGAGAACCGGGGCCTCTCCCGGTCCTGAATGTCCAGGAAAACCCCTTTCTGCGGTTCCATTGCGATGGATTCACTTCTACAAACATCCGGTTTGTTCACCATCAGAGCAGATCCGCAGTATGGAAGACTAAACATGCAAAAACCCAGAATAAACAGAAATAGATCACTGCAGTGACTGAACTCACAACTTAAACAAAAACAATAAAACTGGTTTTATTTTTACCTTGAAAAATAAAGGTAAATATTGGTTTTAATATTTAGATCTAGCACTTAAAATTTATTTTTATTTTGATGTCATTATTAAAATAAAATTTTAAATGATGTATTATTGATTATTTTATTAATTTTCCTTTGTTAATTTTTTATAAAGTGACTTATTTAATATAATTATTTACACCACTGATGTTGATATATTTACTTCATTGGCCATTTTACCTTTTTTACCTCCAATATTTCTCCATCAAATTGTTTCTTCCACATTTTGCATGTCGATTCAATCATTTAAAAGCAAAAAGGGTTTTTGAATAGAAAATGTTTCTGTGTTTGACACGTTTTAGTCATGTGTAGTTAATTAATTAGAGGCCCTGAAATTTACTGGATTAAGAAAAATTGATTGAGTTGCACCTCTAGTTTCCATATTTATGCATCGGCATTTTACTTTTCCATCTCTGATGTTAAATTAAAAATGAAGCAGAAAGGAGACAAATAAGGGACAGTTTGAAATAAAAACTATTTTTACCTACCTGCAATATAATTACTCTGCTCTATGGCCACGCCCCTTCACCCTTTGACCCCAGCAGTTGTTTTCCAATGGGATTAAGCTGCAACAAATAATTACATATAGAAATCATGTTTTATGGGATATTTTGTGTCATTCACAGGGCAAAATCCATCTAAACCAAAGTCAGGGGTTAAATCTAATTTGCACATCAGAGGTCAGACTCCTCCCAGTCGTCAGTCGTGTTTGCCTTGACCTTTGAGTTCACACTCTCACTGCTGCGCCTCACACTTTCCACTGCAGGCTCGTCATAATAAACCGTTTCAGCTCTGATAGGAGGAGAAACCAGCCTGCATGCTGGGAAACTGTCTCAGCTTCTTCTGAACGATGTGAGATAAAGTCACAACCCGCTCACATGCAGATTACATAACCTGCTCCAAAAAACAGGACAAATTTATCTGGGAAACCCGCGACCTTCAAAATAAAAGCTACTAGCCCAGGCTAGAAGGTTTGGATCTCATGCTGAATTCTGCAGAACGTTGATAAACATCATCAAGGTTATTTTAAATATTAAAATTAGATTAAAATTTTATATCAGACCAATGAGAAAACATTTTAATACAGAATTGTGGGCTCTTTGTGGTTAATGTCTGCATAGAGGCCGTTTATAGTTAAAATCTGCAGAGCACATAATATGCAAAAAATAAGATTGTTTATTTGCAAAAAATACTTACCTTTTATGTTTATTTTCATAAAATAAGTTTAAACTCTTCTGGGAGTTTATCAATGCAATGTAGAGCAAAGCTGAAGTGAAAGGAAACTGGCACGTCTGAAAAGTGCGGTGTGCTTTGTACTCAGACCCCTTTATGCTGTGCTCTATGGTCCCGCCTCTAGGTTTTGTGCGTACCCTGAAAAATTAACATTTTTAGTTTTAGCGTGTTAAAATCTGTGTAATTAAGTGAAATTGAACGGAGCTTCACCATGGTGAAGCATGGTGGTGGCAGCAACATGCTGTGGGGAAGTTTCTTTTCAAGCTAGTGGAAAGTGGCACTACTTTCTATCACTTCTCCAGGTTTTTCATTTTAATGTCACGTAATACATTGTATGTATACAACTTAGATATGTAAATGATCCTTCTGAGGGAGTTTTTAACAAAATGCTATTTTCATCAGAGATAATCCATTCTTTACAGAAGATTGTGAAGTATTGATGGAGAAGTTAAGCTACATTTTAAACCTGGTTCCGTGTTTTTTGTTTTTAGTTTGGCTGCTGCAGCAGCTGCAGAAAGTGTGTGAGAGAAAGCCAGTGTCACCTGCAGAAAGTTTGCTGCAGCAAAGAAAAATGTCCCCGTTAAGAAGCCGGCGTGTGACAGCCGCCCACTTCCACGGCTTCCTGCAGACAGCAGAGTGGGTTTCTATGACTCACCTCTGCCAACTGCAGCAACTTTAAGTGCTACATTTGAATATTGAAACTTTTTACTGTGCAGGAAGCAGCCGTGGCAGAGATCTGATTGGTGCAGCAGGGAGGTGGAGGACAGAGCTCCTCTGTGTGACAATTAACAGCAGCTGCATTTATAAAAGCAGATTTATAGTTTTTACAGCTCAGGGTGGAATATGCAGGAAGGTAGGTGTGTGTGTGTGTGTGTGTGTGTGTGTGTGTGTGTGTGTGTGTGTGTGTGTGTGTGTGCGTGTGCGTGTGTGTGTGCGTGTGTCTGTGTGTGTGTGTGTGTGTGTGCGTGTGTGTGTGTGTGTGTCTGTGTGTGTGTGTGTGTGTGTGTGTGTGTCTGTGTGTGTGTGTGTGTGTGTGTCTGTGTGTGTGTGTGTGTGTGTGCGTGTGTCTGTGTGTGTGTGTGTGTGTCTGTGTGTGTGTGTCTGTGTGTGTGTGCGTGTGTGTGTGTGTGTGTGTGTGTGTGTGTGTGTGGTGTGTGTGTGTGTTTGTGTGGCCTTGCATTTGATGCATTATAAGCACCATTCTCCTCACACACACTCTGCTGTGAGGCCCGACTGGTCCTTACGGGGCCCAAGAAGAAGCGGCGCTGTTTGAGGTAATTCTGGCCGCCGCTCCAGGATGTCACAATGTTTTAGATTTTCTGGTGCTTCTTTAAGAATAATATCAAGGATTTTTGCAATAGTTTTCCACACTAAACTTCTTCAAAAATCTTGCAAGCTAATTATTTAATAAATCAACTAAATATTTAATTTGAAGCTATTAAACTCATCAGTATTTTACTTCTTATACACTTCTGCTTTCAAATATCTTCATGTCAACTCGATCATCAATATTTTTATGCAAATCAGTTTGAATATTTGCTAAATCATTAGTTCTGAAGTAGTTTTTTATATTTAGTTAATGCTGAGCCTTTAGTTGGTAAACTGGGTTGGTAAATATACCTATCTGAGAGCTAAATATTTAATTAGTAAACTAAATGTTTAGCTTTCTAACTAAATATTTAGTTAGTAAATATTTAGTCTGGCTCAGTAAAACTTTTACATAAAAATTAACCATCATGTTTGTCTCAGTTTAAATAATCCAATTAATTTTTGACTGTAACTTTACAGACATGAATCAAAGCGGACTTCCTGAATGGACCCTGTGATGGTTCGGTTCCATGGTACCACGGGTTACCAGCACAGATGCCCAGCAGAGCCAAACCAGAACAATCGGATCCTCTATCCCGCTTCGACCCGAGTCTGCGGGGTTTCCTGGTGCTGTCTGCTCAAGACAGACCCAGATCCAGAGAAAGGCAGCATTCAGCAGGGAGCGCAACCTGTTCCTGTTGGCTCGCAGCAGGGAGTCCGGTGAAGACCGGCGCCGCTCCAGCATTTATGTTTTCATTCATGTTGTTTGGTTTGCAGAACCTCCACTGACCCGGAAGACCCCGTAACGCAGATAAATCCAGATCAAATTCAGTTTTGCTGAATCGATCACACATCTGATGAAAGCTGGATGATTTGTTTACACCACACCACTGGTTGTTGCATAACTGAGGCTGTTGCCATGGAAACACCAAGATATCCTCCCACCACCGCACCTTTCAGTCTCACTCACGTTTAAACAAGCAAAGTCGGCCGGATGGAGCGTTCTCCGATCGCAGGACTGATCCGGATCCCGGATGTTGACGGAATCTGTCCGAGAACAGAGGGAAAATATCTGAAAACATCAGAGACACATGAAATAACCACTACACTGTTCACATGCAAACAATCTGAGTTATGGCCTTCAGTGAAAACCAAGTGTGACGTCAGAATGATGTCATACTGACTAACATTCATTTCAAGAAGTGAATTTAAACAAACTGAATGGCAAACAGACATTTTCCAAAACCATTAATAATCTGGATCACTGCTGGGCGCCGGTCCCCGAAACGCAGAGATCAACAATCTGACAGAAACAGTCCCAATTAGGATCGATAAACCAGTACACACACACACACACACGCACACACACATACACACACACACGCACACATACATACACACACACACACACACACACACACACACACACACACACACACACACACACACACAGAGCGAGTCAACAGAGGAAGCATTCTGGCTCACGTCAGGTAAGGTCAAAGGTTCCAGCGTTCCTGTCTCCTTTTCAAAAATTTAAACTTTTCTCATCTTAAACTCCAGTCCAGATAAATTCATCTGTCAATTTCATAGCAATTTTAAATTTTAAATTTATGAAGGTTTGGAAGAATTCAACAGAAAATCTGCAGACGGCTGATTTCAGCTTGATAAAGTGGATTTGTTTAGTTTTCTCCTGATTATTCCCATGTTATTATTCTTGTTTTTTTATTATTTTTATTTTTCTCTTGCTCTTTCTGTAACAGTCTAAAGTTTCCCTCATTAGCTTCAACCGGGAATTTTCCCTCTGGACTGCGTCACTGGAAAGGTTGACATCCTAAAAGTCTGCAGGTTTTCCCTGGAAACTCACTGGCCAACATCCACACTTAGTTTTTCCAGAACCAAACGGAACCGAACCGGTGGGATCAAACAGAAGTTGGGCTCGGCTGCAGGTTTTCCAGGAACGGATCCTGAAGCCGATCCTGTTAAACTGCTGCAGGACATTTTATTCTCTCGGGAGCTGATGGAGATTTTTTCTTCTGCTTTACTTCACAGCAGGGGTGAAACGATTAATCATATTATTGAAATAATCAGCAACTAATTTAGTAATTGATTAATTGTTAACTCTAGAATTCAGACTCAGAAAAGGTTATTTACTGAAAAAAAACACTAAAATATTCAGCGCAGTAAAATAAAAAATTTTCATTTAAGCTAAAAACACATTTATCTGCAAACATATTTCAGCCAAAATGGCGTCACTTTGTCTTCAGCAAGTTCAGACTCAATGAAAGGAATTTTGTTTTCTCAATCAGAAAAGGAACTGAAGTCATTTGCATATTTTAATCTTTGTAGTTTTATGTAAAAATGGTTTAAAATTCTGGGGATCGATTAATCGTTAGAATAATCGATTGATGAATGAAGTTTTTCCCTGCTTCCCGTGCGGTTCTGATCCGGTTCTGATCCGGTTTCGCTCTCCCCGGTGCGTCCATGCAGTCC